CTGCCTTTGTCATTTCAGTCCCATTGTGTTTTGTGCTGCCATTCTGCCTCTTTCCCAGCCAGGCAGGGAGATGCAGCCTTGCCTGAGGGGAGCGATACCCGCTGAGGGTGAGACAGACTTTCCATTGCCAGGAATGGCTCCCTGGGATGGACCTTGGGAAGAGAACTTGGCTCCAAGGAGAAAGTGACAGTGGGGTGTGTGGCTCTGCTGGTAAAATTCCCCTCTTGTTTTAGAGTAGGTGTGAAGGATCAGTTGGCAAGAAGTCCCCTGTTTTGTTGTCACCTTCCAAACCGTGCAGTGGCTCACCTTGATGATTGTAACATTTGGGACATAGCTGGCCCTTTGGAAACAGCAGGGATGTCTGACAATCTGCTAAACCATGAAGCCACAGACACTGGGAATCCTAACTGAGGGCTGTGTCCTCTGTGTGAGCACTGGCTTGGTTCTGGCACTCTTTACTGAAGTGTTTGCGCTGGAGCAGGAGTTGTAGACTTGTGAGTGTGGCGTCCTCTCTTTCTTCCAAATATCTTTTCAGCGTCTTGCCTGAGAAACAGTGTGTGCTCTGTGAAGTGTCCTGCTGGCAGGGGACAAAACAGGGCTCACACCACCCAAATTTATTCCTGGGGAATGTCTCTCCAGGTCATCATACTTGAATGAGGGTCAGTGTGATCTCATGTGAGGAACATTCAGACTTGTGAAACGTGCACTGTGGGACTGCACACTATTTGTGGCACTGTTGAATTTTTCAGGTATCACGAGCTGGTCACCAAGTACGGGAAGCTGGAACCCTTGGCAGTGGTGGATCTTCGGCCTCAGAGCAGCGTGAAGGTGGAGGTTCACTTCCAGGATAAGGTGGAGGAGATGTCCATCCGCCTCGATCAGACTGTGGCAGAGCTGAAGAAGCACTTAAAAACTGTGGTGCAGCTGTCCACGAGCAACATGCTGCTCTTCTACCTGGACCAGGAGGCTCCCTTTGGTCCCGAGGAGATGAAGTACAGCTCCCGAGCGCTGCACTCCTACGGCATCCGGGATGGGGATAAAATCTACGTGGAGCCCCGAATGAAATAACCTCTCTTGACCACACACATGCCCCCCCACACCCACACACATGCATTAAGGAGTTTTTGCAAGGTTTTTGTTTCGGTTGGTTGGTTGAGGTTTGGTTGTGTTTCTGTAGCAGGTGATTTCTTAGCCCGGAGGAGGTGCCCTGACGTGAGAACCAACGCCCACCATCCACTGCAGGTGACCTTGAGGTGACAGTTGACTTCAGGACGTGTGTTTCAGTGTGGGCAATACCTTGATGTTTCCTTTGATGCTCCGGTATACTCGTGATTTGGCGTGAATGGTCAGTTGTTCAAGCTAAGGAATGCCAGGGTCCATAAGGGAGACAACAGCTCGGTGCAGAATTTGACCTGTTGTTTTCTTTTCCTAAGTTTTTGGTGTTTTGCTCCACCAGAGCTCCCTTTGGCCTCGCTACCCGACTGTGGCTCGAGCTTGCTGAAGTATTTCCTTGCAGCTTGGTGCTGTCCCAACCTTTTGTTGTGCTCGAGTTCACAGACAAGATCTCCAACAGTATTTGTTCCGCTTGATTCAGAGCTCAGGTACTTAGTGCATCCACTTCACTCCGCTGGTTTGGTTTCTAGGAGTGCACAAAATGGGGGAAAGAAAGAGAATTTAGCAGAAAGAAGCTTTCTTTTCAGAACACACGCCCTGTATCCACGTTGATTTGGGGGAAAACCAGGAAGTTTTGGTGGCTGTTCCCGTCTCACACTGTGTGCAGCCCGTAGCACTGGCAGGCTGGGGGCAACGGGACCCTTGGGTGTGCTGCAAAGTGAATTTTGGAGTGTGGTGGGATGGATGTTGCGTTGGAAGGGCTTTTAGAGTAACAGGTCAGCGAGGGGTTGAAGAGCTTCCCCCACTGGCCATCGTCCATCCTGATGCTGAAGAGATCCTCCATGCACTTAACCTTGGCCAGCTGGTACTGAACGTGGAATGGCTAAAATTCCTCTCCAGGGAGGAGAGGAAGAGTGAAGTTGAAGTTTGTGTTTGTTGCTGTTGCACCAGAATTCAAACCTTAGCACTTTCCCCGGGGCCCCTGGCTGGGGGTCCCTGCTTGGGGTCCGAGCCAGGACAGTGTGTCGGCTCAGACCAGTTCCTACAAGTTGAGTAACAAAGCAACCAGACTCGTGTTTGTTGTTCAGCAGGTTTTCACTCCCTATTGGCTTCCCCCCCCTTGTGCTGCTGCTTAAGTTAGCCCCTGTTTTCTGCTGCAGAGCAGATTCCCTTTCCTGTTCAGTGAAATCCTCCTTCCTTCCTATCTCTTATTTCCCTTCCCTGTGTCTTCCCTTGTTCCTCTGCTCCCTGACAAGTTGAAGACTTTTCAGATTTCCTAGTTACAAGCAGCTGCATAAAAGTTTTTGAAGCTGTGCAGTGAGGGCTCTAGTTACACATGAACTCCTGACCTTAATTTTGAAATGCTCCCTTGTCCCCATGTGCACTTTCTTTCCCATGATGCTTCTGTCCACATCACCAAGCTCCTTTGATATTCCTGGAGTTGTGTATTTCTCTTCATATTTCACCTAGAAAGTGGGGTGGGAGAGGATGGGGAGGGGGTGAAGTGTTATCTCATAGTCTTCAGGTTCAGAATGTGGGGATAGTTCAGAGGGGAGAGTAGTTCCTCATCCAAAGTAAGCGTTAAAAATGGGAGGATTTAAGACAAATTAATAATTTGTGCCTCACCCCCCTGCCAAAAATACCAATTTCTTGGCCCCGTTGAGATGAGCAATAGGAAAGGGAGCAAGACTTTCCACAGGTAGCATAGAGACCACAGCATGTACCTGCAGAGCTGTGGGACCTGTAAAACTAAAACAGCAGGGAGGTAGTGGCAGTGTAACATAAAATGATGCTTTTATAAGCTAGAGCTTTACTGAAGATGTATTTTCCGTTTTGGGCAGTGAAAGTAATTTGCTGCCTTATAGCAGAACTCTTAAGCCAACACTTTCTGTATGATATATATATATACATACGTGCGAATAGGAGAAGTTGTGGTTAATAAGATATTTTGTTATAAAGCAAAGTTTTATGAAGATATGGTTGTTTAATATTAGAAGCCTATTTCAGCCCTTGACCTCCAGTGTAAGTAGGTTGTCCCTGAGTCGCTGCAGTGTCCGAGGTAAGCGACCAAGAGGGATGCAAAAGTGTCTCTGACCTAATTCTGTAGAGCAGTAATTGCCTCTGTGGGTGTATTTATGGCATTGTACCTGCTATTAATGAGATGCTGTAACTCTTGACCAACTTCCTGAGCACAATTAAGTGTCTGGGTTTCAGAGAAGGGAATAAACAAAGACCATTAAAGAGCTGAATGGGATGATAAAGAAGACCCAAGGATGTGCTTTTAAGTTTGTTTGCCCACTAAAAATTGGCCTGTCCCTGGAGGGAATGGTGCTGTCCCTGCACCGGCTCAGAACTGTCAGTAAATCCTGGTTTTATTTGTGGCAGACCTGATGGGAACTGGGAGATGGGAAAGAACAGCTACTGACATACAAGGTCAGCAAGTGCTGGGGATTTGGTGCTGACACCCAACCCAGCTGCCCTGGTCGGGCAGGTCAGAAGTCACAATATCAACACCCCCACTTTGCCACTTCTCCAGGGAAGGGTTTTTAATGGATGAGGTTCTCAAGGCATTCACCTTGTGTGCAGCTTGTGGGACGCTTGTAGGGTGGAAACCAAAAATCTTGGCTGTCTTCCCGAGGAGAGGAAGTCACATCCAAAACCCAGAGACAGTTTATGTGTCCGGATGATCGACTTTGGAAAGTAGGACCAAAGGCACACAACTGATGGGGGAAAACACCCCAGATCCCTTTCCTTTTGTAATACCTCTTGGGAAAGGGTCTTGTGCATGTGCCATGTCGGTACTTAACAGGGACCATGTCTTGGAGAGAGGAGAGGGCTCTGAGTGGGAGAGGAGGTTTGGGATGCTGAGAGTCCTGTAGGGTCCTGATGTGACAGGAGGTTTGATTGAGGAGGTTTGAGTCAGGAGGGGCTGTGCCCAGGTGAAAACATCCCTGGCTCTGCCACATTCCTTGGAGAAAACAAAATAGATTTGCAAGCTTTCCTAGCTTTTGTGTCCTTCTATCAGAGGGCTACTTTTGTCAAGAGCTGTTTTGCTGTTCCTGCTAGTTCAGGCATTAAAGTCTGCCCCGGGCAGTCTGCGTGGCGGGCAAGCCCTTGGCTCACCGGGAATTAGGTGACAGCTACATACCAAAGTGTCACACGGCTCCGTGTGCTGAGATTGGATGCTGTGCTCTCGTGTTTTTGGATAACGTTGCTGTTGACTATCCGTGTTTTGACCAGATGTTTCGGGCGGATCGCTTAAGGGGCGATGTTATGAATATTCATGGCGTGCTGACTGCCCTCTGCTCCCCCGCTGGGGTTTGTGACACCGTTTTTTTGGGAGCTGCACACATCCTAGTGGCAGGTGAGAGTGTGGCCCAGGGTGGCCCGGAGGAGCTGCCTCTGGGGAGGGCCTCCTTGGGTCTGGAATCTCTGGCACTGGCTCTGCCTCCTCGGTTGCCGGTTTTCGCTTGTAAATGAAATTCTGTAGGTTCTGTTCGTGTGCAGATTTGAAAATGCAAACGAGGTGCTGGAAGCAGCCCAGAGGCTAAAATATGTATTCCTGGCAGCTGTGCCTCCCTCGTTTGGATGTGGCACTTCTGTAGGAGGCAGAGAGACGCCTTCCCCAGAGCAACGTTCGTTCGAGGGGCTTCAACCATCTCGGGCCTTTGCCTCTGTGATTGCTTTCCTGCAGTTACTGGAAATTTCAAATATAGTTTAAACATGAAGATCTGTTCTTGCTCCCTGTTAATGTTGCATCCATGTGTAATTTCAAAGAAAAAGAACTGTAAGTCCATCTCGTTTTTTATTCTGGTTTCTCTCATGGGGGATATTCTTCCCGCTCCCACGACTTGCCTTTGGTTTGCTCGCAGACTTAGTGATGGAATTCAGGCCAAATAGGTAATTGGTTTGGATCAGTTCAATAAACTTATGTAAGTTTTTACACAAAAAAAAAAAAAAAAGGTGTCCTGAGCTTTGCCCTTTTGTGTTCCCCTTGAAGCAAAACGTTCCTGTGGGTCTGACCCACATGTTTAACTCACACCTTTGGTGCGGTGAGAGCTGCAGGGGTGTATTTGTGCTGCTGATGTGTGTGCTGAGAACTCAGGCACAGCCACCTCACCTGTGATGGTGCTTTTTGAAAGGAAAAGGAAGATCTAGTCCTCTCCTGGGCTGTATTTCTCCGTGGCTGTGATTCATCTCCACTTCCAGGTGAGGAACGAGGCTTGAGATCACTCTTATTATCTGCTCCATGTCCTCACTGGGACTGACCTTGGGGATAAAACAAGTTCCATCCTCGTGACTCGCACCAAATAACCCTGGGGAGAGGCAGGAGGAAAAAGAATGTCCCTCCAGATGGGACAGAGCTCCTGGCAAACCCCTCCCAGGGTGTCTCCCAGCTGTGCTGGGTCCCTTGAAATGGGAATGCCTGTGGTTGCTCTGCTGAGATGAAGCAGCCAGAGAACCTTTTGCCTCATCTTTTCATGCTTGTTTTTTCTTGAGGTCAGGCATGGGAGGAAGTTTTCTGCTGGAAGAATTAAAAAAAAAAAAAAAAAAGAGAAGTGTTTGGTTGTTCAGCTCCGATGTGTCCAGCACTGCATGATGGGAACATCCCCTGCCAAAAGAAAATAGCCTGGAAGACAGAGTCCTCCCCAAAGAGACAGTGAAACCTAATCAAACTTCATCAGTGTGGTCTTGCCCAGGACAAACAGGACCAGAATATTAAACTGAAAAAGGAGCAGAAGGAAACCTATTTTCACCAGTTTTCTCTGTGTTACAAAACAGAAGGAGAAGAGTCAATTGATTTTCCTGTGGCTGGTAATGTTTAAAATGAAGAGCCAGGGTGCATGGAGTGGCAGGCTGGAAGTAATGGGTCCCTGGAATATCAGTGCTGATATCCCCCTGCCCTCCTAAAATAGTTGTTGGTTTAGAAAAGGGTACAAATAAGTTTAAAAAATGAAAGACTCTTGTTAGCAAGGCCACGTTTGGAGGATGAAGAAAAAGCAAACTCCAGGATTTGCTGTGGAGGTGGTGTGTTGCCTGGTGCCCCTGATGTGCTGAAGGAAATTGCTGATGTAAGATGCAGCACTTTTGGGGTGAACTTGCTAAACACACTTCTAGGAGCCCCCAGGCTCCTGGGAAAAAAAAAGTCTGGGCTTCTCTGGTTCTTATTGGGCTGCTGGCATTCCTGTGCCCTCTCCATTCCTGGCAAGGGGCAGGGAGAGGGTGTACAGGGAGCACAGGAGGAATAACTAACTCCTAGCAGGGAAAATAAAAGGCACCCACCCAGAAAGTCAGAAAGGAAAAGCCAAGGTCAGGCTGTTTTCCTACAATGGGTTGGAGCTCTGCCTGTCCTACCTGAGTCTTGCTGCAGGCTGGAAAATCAGCTCTAACATGGCTCTGCTGGTGGCATCCTTCACCCCTCAGCTGCTATTCCACCTCTCCCTCTCTCATCTGACGTGGATCTGAACGCAATGAAAGTGGTTGAATTCTTTTCCCAGGGTACAGAAAACGAGGAAATTTGGTCAGCTCACCCCAGCTACCCCCACAGCCCAGAGCTAGCTGTGTATCACCTATCAGCCCAGATGCCAGGGGCAGGGAAAATCCCTGTGGAAATTGCAGGTTGTAGGAGTGAAAACAGTAATAACACTCACACCAGTCCCCCAGTGAGACTCCCCAGCAGCAGCCAGCCTTTCCAGAGCAGGTGGAAACAGGAACAGCAAGGAAAGCCTCCCTGGGAGATCTGGAGACAGAACACTGGACTGGGTGAGTTTTTCCTTTTCCACCTGTAAAAGCAGAAGTCAGTTACAGAAAGTAAAGCAAGACCTGGATGGCAAAGTAGCTCCATTGAAAGTTCAGGGCACTTTGAGCCTAGCACTGCTTAATGCTAATCCTGTAACAGTATATAGATGGGCTTTTTTTTTTTTTCCTTTTACACAAAGGAGGAAGGGGCTCAGTTCTTCTGAGGGTTGGGTTTTCTTTCCCCTGAGCAGCACAGCAGCGAGCCCAGCTCCGGCTCGCTGGCATTTCCATCTGAATCCACCTGAAGGGGGTGAGCTTTTGGGGAAGAAAGAGGCTCCTCTCCCTCTCCAGGCCAGAATCTGATCTCCAGATTAGCTCGCTGGTTATCAATAGAGGCAACAGTTGTGATTGCAACTCAACACTGCTCCAACCCTGGAAGAGCATTGACGGGAAGGGAGTTTTCAATTGGGAGAGCAGGGGACTGAGCCATCCTTTCAGTCCCCAGCAAGGATTGGCACGGGAGGACCGGCATGCATTCTCCATTGACATAGGACTTCGCCCTGCTCCACCAAGATTGGTCTAAAATTTCAGACCTCATCGCTCCTCTAGTCCACAAACAGGTTGGTAATCTTTTTTTTCATACCTAAATAATTGCAGTTTTCAATGGGATATATTAAATAATGTGTTCTTTATTAAGTCTGTCATGTTTGCCGAGTGGTGCCAGTCTTCCTCTTGTCCTCAGGCTGCCACAATCTCCGCTAGTCACTCTCTACCCGCTCTCTGCTAATGAATCCACAGAATTTACAATCCTGTCATCCTCCTTTCATCTTCCCAAGACAGGGAATGTGGCAAAACTTTTCCTTGGTGGAGTGATTTCTAGTCAATGGAGAATGTGGCAGCTGGGAGCAGACTGGGACCAGCATTGGTGTGACTGCAGCAGTGAACAGGGAGGAACTTTCTGTCTGCTGTGTTCCATACTTTGCAAGCTCCCAGAAGTGGGAATCAAGTGGAAGTGATGTGGGACAGATGATGGGATGTTCCCCCTGTGTGCTCTGTGTGCTATTTATGTAAATGTGTGTCTTTAGAAGGTGCTGGATCTGCTGATCCACAAACGCCATAAAAACAGATCTACAGGGGACACAAAGCAACACTGGCTTTTACAGACAGATATTTAAAGCTGGGAAGGTGGAGGGGCTGATCTGAAAACTTAGGCTGTGCATAATGGCTGTGTGAAGCTGATCAGGTACTTTTCCCACTGGCACACACACGCTGGGAACACACGAGACCCTCCCGGGAGCTCGACGTGAGCCCTGCCCGTGTGTAATCACGGACTCGACGGGCGAAGAAATCAAAGCAGGTGTTTTAGCAATATTTTCCATTGGATTAATAATGAGTAACAAATTGCATTAGGCACAGAAGGAATTAAAGCTGGCACGGGGTTTTCTCTTTCATTTTCCCAGCCCTGTGTCTGCTCTCTCTCTCTCTCTCCCATTGATTCCTGTGCAGCAAGGAGGTGCCCAGCTGTGGAAATGTTTGGGCTCATCCAAAACAGTAAGTGGTGGTTGTGGTAGGAGCCAGCACAGAGGATTAGTCAAAGTGGTGTCTGAAGCCCCTTAACCACAAGAGCACACCACAACTCTTGTGCTTGGAGCAGTGCAGAGCTGCTCCCCTTGGAACTGGGCAGGAGTGTCCATCCCTGCACCGAGCAAATCAGGGAGGAATTGCTTTTGAACCCTCAGGAGAATCAAGAGCCCACGGAGAGCTGGGGCTATTTACAGCTTCCAAAATCCATGTGAAACCAGCAGCAGCTCTTCCATGTGGTTCTGGGCTTCCTTTGGCAGTGCCTGCAGGTGATTTGCTGTTATCACCAGGGAATTCTCTCTGCACCACTCCATGGAACAGGCATTTCGGGTCTGCCTGGCAGGTGAGGGGCCTCCACCTCTGAAACATCCACCTGGCTTCAGGAAGCAGCAGGGCTTGGGGTATCCTTAAGGATGTGTTTTCCTACCAATGTGATGCATGTCTGGGTTTCTTCCCTTCCTGTAGGATGAACAAACGATCGTTTCTGGGAACCTGGGTGGCCCTTTTGGTGATAACAGCCCGGCAGCGAGGTGAGTGTCTCCTGCTGGAGTGCTGGGAGCCCAAAATTCCCCAGCTCTGCTGTGCCCAGAGACCCCAGAGGGCTGAGAAAACACCCCCAACTCCTTGTCTGGGGGTGTATAAGGACCAGGGTGACCTGAGTGTTTCCCATGGGGAGGGAGAGGCTGGGAATTTTAAGGGATGCTTGTGTATATCATTTATATGGCTGTGTGTGCACGTGGGAGCTTTCCAGAGGTTGTGTTGGTCTGGCCAGTCACTATAAAATCAGTTGGAAAACATTTCAGTGTTAGGACTGCTGAGTAGGAACAGCAGCGTGGCCCCAGCAGTGCTAAAGGAGCTGGAATTAAGGAGTGTCTGCTGAGTTCCCTGTTTTAAAAATCAGTAAAATCCGTGTCTCATAGCTATGCCTTGGCTGTAATAACTTTTCAGGTGTGTGACAGCTGTGAAATGTCTTATTTTACTACCTGTCAGCCTGAAGTTTTGCCGTGGCCCTTTGGATATATCTGTGAAACCATCACATGCCACTTCCCTTTATGTCCAGTGGGGCACTCAGGCCACTCAGAGGTCTCAGGAAATCAGGATGCCAGTGGGTTAGGCCAGGCTTGCCCTTGTCTCCTTTTCCCCTGGGAAAATTGGACCAGTTGAGCCTGTGAAGGACTCAATTTATTCTCCTTATTCCAAGGCAATTTCCAGTATGAATCATCCTCAGGATGGCAGGGAAGGAGCATCCCCTGGGCTGGGCATCAGGAGAGCCCCCCCTGTGTCTGGAACAGTGGGGAACAGAGCAAACTGGCCCCATCTGAGGCCCCTGAAAGCACAGGGTCGGGCCCAGGAAGTAAAAGCACATCCTGAATCCAGGTGAACAGAGCTGGGATTGTTCAGATCCTGTGGCCTCGTATCGACCAAGATTGAATGTTGTCAGGACAGGGAATGGCTTTTCTACACTAAAGAGGGGAGAGGGGAGGGGAAAACCCAGAAAAATCCCCGTTTCCTCTGTGAGGAGCACACTGGAAACAGGACATGAGATGACAGCAGAGGTCTGGCAGGGGCTGGGACAGGAGGGGACGTGTCCTCAGGGGCCAGAAGTGCCTGACTGTGCCTCAAGCCAATGGATTTTAGGCTGGTAATGAGATGTGTCAAAACCATCTTCTGAAGTATTTTTAGGAGAGACAGTTATGTCCACTGGCAGTGCTTTTTAGCAGGAAATGTTTTGCTGGGAAATCTCAAAGCAGCCGTGACACCTCAGGCTGTGACCCGGCCCCAGGAGCCCTGGGGTCCAGCAGGAAGGGCTGTGCAGGCAGGAGGGAGGTGGACACTGCCAGGAACGTGTCCCTGAGGGTTGGAGTTGGTGCTGTTTGCTCCCCTGAACACCTCACCACCTAAACCAGCAAGTCCTGCCCATCCTGGAGCAGGGAGGATGGACCTGTTGTCCTTGTTGTCCCAGTGAGAAGCAGAGAGATGAGTGGTATGATTTGGTGGCACTCACATGGAAGGCAAAAAGCGAAGCTACAACTGTCCTGCATCTTGGGGTCACTTTGCTGTTGCCCCAGCCAACCTTTGGATGATGCTTTTTCTCCTGACCCTGTCCCAGTCCCAGAGCTGGAACCTCTGCTGTGGCTTTGCTGTGGCCTCTCTCAAGTCAGAACAGGTCCTGACATGGCCTGAAGGACTCTCTTCTCTCTCTCCTTCCAGCTCACACCATGGGGAGTCTGTATCCATTCTGGCAGAACGACACAAGAACACCCAAAGTTGATGATGGAAGCTCTCCTGAGATCAGGATCTCCATCCCTTTCATCTATTTTGGAGTCCCCTACAGAAGCATTTATGTGAGTGGACAAACAGACTTTCCCTTGGCTCTTTTCCTTGTCATTAGGTTGTATTTTAAATGCTCTCTCCCTGTCATCAGGAACGGGAAGATTTATTAGCAACTACCTGACAAGTTCTTAGATTTTGTGAACTGATAGGTTTTATGATTAAGAAAGTCAAAGGTATATTTAATGGGATAATGTTCATGGGAAAGGAATATAAAAGGCAGTAAATTTTCTTTGTAGGTGATTAAATGGTACAGCAAAGCTAAGGGCTTGACACGAGGGACATTTTTCCTGTTGCATGACAAGAAACAAGAAAATGCAGAGACCTGCTGGGGGTAAAATGGGCAACAGTTTTGTGGGTGCCCGAGACAAGGACAAATTGCTGCTCTCCTTTGTTGTCCTGTAGAGCCCTGTTTTGCAGACCTTTCAGGGATTTTTGGGGCTTTTTCAGGGATGCTTTTGGGGCTTCCTGCATCAGCCTTTGGCCACCCCTGGTGGGATGAAGCAGAATCTCTGGCTGGGTGGTCAGGCTGCCTCACCCACTGTCACCATCTCAGTCACCTCCAGGGGAAACCCTCTCACCCCACGTTTTCTGAGAAACCCGCGGGTTTCTGCTGCCTGCAAAGGCTTGCTCAGGCAGGGTGGGTCTCTTGGTGCAGGTGAACAACAACGGGGTGATCTCCTTCAACACGCTGGTCAGCCAGTTCACCCCCGAGGCCTTCCCGCTGGCCGACGGCCGCGCCTTCGTGGCGCCGTTCTGGGCCGACGTGCACAACGGCATCCGGGGGGACGTCTACTACAGGGAGAGCACGGACCCCTGGCTGCTCAGGAGAGCCTCCAAGGACATCCACAAGCACTTCAAGGACATGGCCTCCTTCTCTGCCACCTGGGTCTTCATCGTCACCTGGGAGGAGGTCACGTTCTACGGGGGGAGCAGCACGACGCCGGTAAGAGCGTGGTGCTGGATGGTTGAGTGTATGCCTGTGGTTGTATATCTGTGTGTCTGTGTATCAGTTATATAATTGTCTTTTGTGTGTAAAATTGACTGTGTGTCATTGTGCTCCTCGGTTCCCCTTGGGCAGAGAAGCACCATGGTCCTTTCACCTTTCTGTCTCGTGGGAGCCCATACGAGCCTCGCTCCCTGCTCTCAGATCTCCAGGGAAAGCATCCCCTCTTTGGTATTTGCAGGCAGTGTATCTAAACAGGGCCCTGACACCACTTAGGAGTGTTTGGCTTGATCACAGTGTGCTTCTTTTTTGTTAGATACAAATGCAAATATTTGTGATGACAACTGCAGGGGAGAATGGTCAGACTGACCAGAGTCACACTCACGACTCAACCATATTATGTTTCCAAAAATGTGAGTTGTATCTCAGAGGATGGAGATGGCAGTGTGGTGGTTTTTTTAGGGCATGAACAGCTTTTAAATATCTGGTTAATATGTGAGCTGTGGCTGCAGCTGCTGTTGGGAGATCCGTGCTGGACTCCTGGTAGCTGAAGGCTTAGGGTGCAGATACAATCCTAGGATGGTTTGAGTTGGAAAGAACCTCAAAGCTCATCCTGTCCCACCCCCTGCCATGGGCAGGGACACCTCCCACTAGACCAGGCTGCTCCAAGCCCTGTCCAACCTGGCCTTGAACACTTGGGGAGTGAGGGATCCCAGCTATTGTTTGGGGCAAGGCTTGTTTAGGACTAGCAAGTGCCAAAAGCTGGTTTCTTCTGTCTCGAGGAGTTGGCTCTGATAAACAGTCCAGCTCTTTCCCATTTGTTAGAGAAGCTTGAGATTTAATGCATATTTTTTACCAGTCCTGGCAGCATTTGCAGAAAAAACCCCACATATATATTTATTTGCAGACAGGAAGCAATATAGAGATTCGTGTATTGCCTGAAGAATTACATTTGCAACACAATGCAATTTATTTTGTTGTGGAGCAGCCTTCCTGCTCAGCAGCAGCCAGGGCTCGGGGTTGGCACGTGGAACAGCACGATGCAACTTAAGCAGGAGATTCATTGCAATGCAGAAAAGCTGCAGAAAACAATTTGGGGAATGTGGCCTCTGGGACGCTGCAGTTGCTGTCTCGTGATGTCACCTGACATTAGCTCAGTTTCTGAGAGCCTGGTGAGGCAGCAAGGGTGCTCAGGGGCCATCAGAACCAAAGAGGGAGATTTTGGGGGTTGATGGAAGTTCCAGCCATCTTACACCTGGCACCAGGTCACCTCCTGCCGCTCTCCAAGAGGCCCCTGAGCAGAGCAGGGTTTGCTGCCCCACCAGAAAGCTGCTGTTGCACTCTCAGAGTGATCCTGACTTCATGTGTGACGTGTTAGTGATCTCACAGCACAGCAAAAGACTTGGCCAAGGTGAGCAAAGTGTGCAGGGGACACCAGAAGTAGGAGGCAGAATCCCAGGGAAAGGATGCAAGAGTGGAAACAGTGGCTCTCCTGCCCACCCCGGTGTGAACTGTGCCATTTGCAGCTGCTGGGAGGCTGCTCTGCCCACACCTCTCACTCTCCTGACAGCTCCCAAAGCCTGCTTTGCCTCTGTGTTCAAGATTCCTCATGGCAGGAGCCCTTATGTGCCTTGGAAGTGACCTCCTTGTGGGGTGCAAGCAGTGAGTGCAGCCCTGGGCTCCCCTCTGCAGTCCCGAGGCATCCTCAGAGCCCAGAATCCAACCAGTGGGTTTAGCACCAGGCTCCTTGTATTGCTCTTGATTAATTAAAAGAGAGGCATCCCACACTTAGTGCCCTGCTAAAATCCTGCTTGCTCAGAGGCAGGAGGAGCAGTTGTCATGGCATGGTCCCAGTGCAGAGGAAGGGCAGGGGTGGGAAGGACAGGAAAATGCTAAAGGCTGAGAGAAGTGATTGACTTCATTCCCAGCGATGAGCTCTGCTGCTGGATCTGCATGGATAGAGGGAATATCTCAAGGAAAGAGGCTTCTTCTGCCTTTCTATACAGCTATAAATGGAAAATGGGGATTATGCTGCCCTCACCACCTGGCTAAGCGGGCTCTTTCCACCTGGAGCCCTGCTGGAATGTGTCTGGAGCTGGGGGGGCTGGAAATGCAGAGTCATTTCAAGGGAAAGGAAGAACATGAGCAGCAGATTTAGCAGGGAGCGAGGGGATTTGGCAGCCAGCAAAGTGCATGATATACGTGGCTGGCTTGGATGTAATCCACCTTTAGCAGTATTGTAGGATATGGATGTGGAAGGGAACTGGGAAAGATAATGCAGCGAGGGATAAAGCTGAGATAGGGTAAGGGGAGATAACAGATCTTAGCAACCTGAATCCTGCCCATTGCCTCTTCTCTGTGAGCTCATTCTCATGCTGCCATCTATTGGTGTTCACTTGGATCAGAGACGGACTTGTCGTCCTCCCAGGTGGAGGAAAGGGCAGGGATAGGAGCTGGTGGAGTTGTGGCAGCAAGCACAGGCGTATTTTGGGTCTAATTCAGCTTCTGCAGCTCTTCACTGCAAGGCTCCTGTGTCTTGCTCAGGCCGGAGATGAAGGTGGTGAAAGGACAGGCAAACAGCGCGAGAAAAGCAGTATCACCTCGTGAAATGTGCTCCTGGTTTTCCACAGGTGAACACTTTCCAAGCTGTCCTGATCTCAGATGGAGTGTCTTCCTTTGCCATATTTAACTACCACGAAATCAGCTGGACCACGGGGACAGCCAGTGGAGGGGACCCCCTAACTGGTCTCGGCGGGGTGATGGCCCAGGTGAGGCTCTTGCTGCCATATCCCTGTCTCTGTTGAACTCTTGGATGATTGCCTGGAGCTTTCCCAACATGTCCATGCTTCCTCATGCCACTCAGTCCCCCACTGTCCCCAGCACTCCTTGCATCCCGCTTCTGGGCACCCAAAATCTGGTGATGGCAGCAGTTCCATCTGCCTGGGGGGGGAGGTTCCTGCATAAGGGGAGTTTCCCTGCATTGCTTCCTCCCTTCATCTTGGCCACTCAATACATACCCCCTTAGATCTATATTTACAAACATATGTATACACACATACCTAAATCTGTAAATATACATCCATTCTGCTTGTAGTACCCGTTTAGCTTTTCAAAACTAACTGAAAACTGCAATCCCTGAGAGAAGCTGTTGAAACTAAAGAGGAGGGGGCAGAGAAGTGAGGAAACGCAGCATCACTTTCCCGTGGCCAAGATGGGTGATGGAATTTGCTCTCTCCCTGCTTTAGGCTGGTTTCAATGGAGGAAATCTCACCAACTTCTTCAGCCTCCCGGGCTCCAGAACTCCAGACATTGTGAATATCGAAGAGACAACCAACGTGAACGTCCCTGGGCGCTGGGCTTTCAAAGTAGATGGCAGAGAAATAGACCCTGCCAATGGCTGCAGCCTGAGAGGTAAGGGAGGAATGGCACTGCTTGTTTGCAGATTTTGGGGTGCAGTGTAGCCAAAGGTGACGCTGTTGGGGTGCTGGTGGAGAGGTGCTGACTGCTCTGGGCTGCTGTGTTTTTGCCAAGGCATCCCCAGAAGCTGCAGCTGTGGGGACAGAAACACGAGAGTAGGTGCCAGTCACTGGTTGCTGCACCCAAATTCCAGGTGGCAACAGGAAAGACCCGGGGACAGCAATTTCCTCTGGCCCCCACATTAGGGAAGCTGGCCTTGTGGTCCCATTTCCCTTGTTTCTGCAGGAGGAAGAGCAGGTTTTCCCTGTGCAGAACCTGTGCCTGTGTCACACAGAGCACGGGGCTATAAACGCATTAATCAATGCACACAGTGACTGCACAGGGACTTTGCTGCACAGAGATTACTGTGTTGCCATTTGACGAATAAAACTGTCAGGAGCTTCCACAGTGCTCCAGGAGTCTTTCCAGCAAGAGAGGATTGTCATTTGTGAGTGGATGCTGGGGACATGAGGCTTCTTTATGTCCCGGTTTAGGACTGTACCAAGAAGGCTCCGAGGCTCTTGCAGCCACAGCAGTTTTAGATCCAGCTGCTCCAGCCCCTTCCAACTGCTGACCCCAGGAAGAAAAGGCTGGACTTTGCAAAGGGGCTGGAAGGCATCTTGGGTTTGCAGGTGATGGGGGAGTGTGAGTAAATCCCACCACTGGATTTAAATTTCACGCTGAATGTCTGATTGCCCTTTATGAGAGGAGACGCAGCACGAGGTGTCAGAGCCTTATGACACTCCTTTCCCAAATCCCCCACACCAGGATGGCTGGCGTGTGGGTCTTGCTAAGAGGAGACATTTGTTGCAGGGAAGTGGAAAATAGCTTCTTTTTTTTTTTTTTTTTTTTTGGTAGGAGGCAGGGAAGAGCACAAAAGTTTAGGAGAGGTAAATTCAGGCAGCGCACGGCGGGAGCCACGCGGCTGAGAAGTGTGAAAGATGGCCAGATGGAGGAGAGAGAAACTCTCCCGGGTACTTGCCACCCTTGTTCTCCTGTCTTCTCTCAGCCTCTCACGTCTCTCACCAGACAAACCTGCCTCCCTTTATAGTGCCACGTCTGCTCAGTCTGCGGGATCACTCAGCGCTCCCGTTGTGGCTGGGGTGTGGTGTGGAAGTTACTTATCAGCAGTTCTTTTGGTTTCCTAACTACTACGAGCTCTTTCTGAATGGGAGTAAATTGCTCCAGGGCTGCTGGTGGCAGAGTCACACTTTGACCAGCAAAGTGGTGTGGACAGGGCAATGATGGAGGTGGCAAAATGCTGAAGGACAGCACAAGTGCAGCGACAGTGCTGGGAACGGCCTCCAAAAGGCATCAGCTTTACCAGTGGACTTTCCTTTTGGGAAAAGAGCACAAATGGCACTTGTGCCCTGCACTACTGAGGCAGAGTGAGAGTTGTGGGTGTCCAAAATGTAGGGAATAGCCTTCAAGTTTTCCAGCCTGTGTGTTGCAGCGCTCGCCCTGGATTTGTGACAGCGCCCTAAGCATTCCATGGACTTGAAGAGGATGGACCACGCACTGAAAACAAAGCTTGGGATTGCAGCACTTTGCTGAGTGGCACTTGCTGGGAGTTTGCACAAAGAAAGCCCAGTGGCAAGACACTTCGGTGGTGGTCTTGACCCCGGGGCCAGCAGACCCCTCTGAGGTGACGTGGTGCACTTGGCTCCTCTGTCTGGAGAAGTGATGTAGCGTGGGTTTTTCCCCTTTCTGTCTTTCTAGGGCAGTTTCTCCGCCAAGGGGAGATCTTTTGGGACAACGCCAACTGCAGCACCAAGTGCCGCTGCCTGGACTTCGGCAATGAGATCCTCTGCCAGGAGGTGGCTTGCGGCCCCTTTGAGGCGTGTGAGAGCAAGGCCAGGTTCTTCCAGTGCGTGCCGGTGGAGAGCAGCACCTGCGTGGTGTTCGGAGATCCTCACTACCACACCTTCGACGGCTTCCTCTTTCACTTCCAGGGTTCCTGCTCCTACCTCCTCGCCAGGCAGTGCTGGCCAGGCTCCCACCTGCCCTACTTCAACGTGGAGGCCAAGAATGAGAACCGAGGCGGCTCCTCCGTCTCCTGGCTCAGGGATATTTTTGTGGAGGTCTACTCGCACAAGATTGTTCTCCCCAAGGGTGGCTTTGGGAAGGCAAAGGTGAGAGCCCTGCTGGTGGATGGGGAGAACTTGCCAGGCTGGCTTCTCTGAGGTGGCAGTGAGGCTGTGACAACAGCTCGGAGAGCGTGGGATGGCACTTCTGGGCCTCGTGTGTCCTTGGGGAGTGGGCATGGGTGACAGGCATGGTGGAAAAACCCTGTGGCTTACAAATGACTGTCCTTCTGTGCGTGTCCCTAACCCTAAGACACCATAACGTGGCTGTGTCCCAGTATGAGGGCTCTGCTATTTCCTGCGCTGGCTCAGCCTCCTGGTGTTGTCCCCGCAGGTGGATGACCTGGTGGTGTCCCTGCCCATTTCTCTGGAACTGGGTGCAGTCAAAGTCTACCAAAGTGGCCTGTCCACCGCCCTGGAGACTGACTTTGGCCTGCTGGTGACCTTTGATGGAGAACACTACGCCTCCGTCTCCGTGCCGGGCTCGTACATCAATGCCACGTGCGGTCTGTGTGGGAATTACAACAAAGACCCTGAGGACGATATCCTCCGCTCAGATGGGAGGTTGGCCACGTCCGTGCCAGAGCTGGGAGAGAGCTGGCAAGTGCCACATCCTGAGAGGAGATGCTCCACGGGCTGCTTGGAAAACTGCAGCCTCTGCGACGCCGCCACCGAGTCCCTGTATTTCACCCCCGAGTACTGCGGCTTCATCAACAAGACTGGGGGCCCCCTCTGGGAGTGCAGCTCGGTCGTGGACCCCACTGCCTTCATCCACAGCTGTGTCTATGACCTCTGCAGTGCCCCTGTGCCGAGGGATAACGGCACTGGGCTGTGCCAGGCCATCCAGGCGTATGCCACGGTGTGCCAGTCCCTGGGCATCTCGGTGGGAGAGTGGCGGACACAGACGGGGTGTGGTGAGTGTTTATGTGCTTGTGCTGGGAGCCTTCCCCTCTGGAGGAGAGGAGTGATTTCAGGGGTTTGCCTCTGTGCCCAGATGAGGGGAAAGAATTCCAAGGGAGGGAGTTGTTGGAGGGAGTCAGAGGAAAATGGATCAGTCCCTTTCCACGGCATCAGACTCTTGCTCCAGCAAAAGGGTGGTGGAAGTCAGGTGGGAGCTCCACGTTTCTCTGCAGACAGTCAGCTGCCATGGTGAGAGATGGAGGTTGGACTGGGACAGGGACAGGCTCAGGACACACTTCTCAGCCCATCCTCCTCAAATAGCTGCAGGCAGTTTGGTGGCTCTGGAGTGGTTTTGGAGAAGCCCCTCTTATGTGACAGGAATGGCCAGGGAAGCACAGAAAGGGAATGGAGGGGCCAATCCTACCATCAAAATGGAGCTCACGGGTCTCTGTGTGTTGTCTCTGCTGTGGGTCAACAGGAACAGGGTAATTGGCCCTGAACTGTGCCATAATTATGGTCCCCCTGTTTGTGTCCCCTCTGCCCCACAGCGACGGCCGTGCAGTGCCCGGAGCTCAGCCACTACTCGGTGTGTGCCAGCAGCTGCCCTGCCACGTGCTCAGACCTCACAGCCCCGCTGGCCTGTGCCTCCCCCTGCACCGAGGGCTGCGAGTGCGACGAGGGCCACGTGCTGAGCCGGGACCGCTGCGTGCCCGCCCCGCAGTGCGGCTGCGACGTGGACGGGCGGTACTACCCCGTCGGGGAGTCCTTCTGGGCATCCACGGACTGCACGGTGCAGTGCCAGTGCGAGGATGGAGGGGAGGCCAAGTGCTTCAACACCACCTGCCCCGAGGGAGAGATCTGCACCATCGAGGGCGGCCACCGCGGGTGCTTCCCCCAGCGGGAGACCGTGTGCTTGGTGGGGCAGAGCCAGGTGCTGCAGACGTTCGATGGCATCACCTTCCCCTACCCGCTGGAACAGTCCTACACGCTGCTCAAAACCTGCCTGGAGAGGCCAGACTTCATCGAGGTGGACATCAGCCAGAAGAAGGTGGGATCTGCTCCCAGCGGGCCGCGCGTGGTGCGGGTCCAGGCAGCCGGCCAGGAGGTGAAGATTGGAGGCACCCGCCTGTCAGACATTAAGGTAAAGGTGCTGCCCAGGGCCGGGGTGGGACGTGGTGGTTTGTGGTGTGATCCCTGTCCCCTTGGAGAAGGGCTCGTGGGTCTGTGGGTGTGGACAGACACCGTGGTGGCACTTGGGGGAAGCCCAAGTGAACCATCACCATGTGAGGGCTCTGAGGTTGTTGCCACAACACCACTATTCCTGTTTGCTGAGTCAGTTGTCTCCTGCAACTTGTTTGTTTTCCCTGGAAAAACACACTCTGTCTGGGGGCAAAAAAGCAAGGAAACAGCCATATGCCCTCACTCAGAGGACGCTCTGGGTCTTGGAGGGTGGGTCAGGGTCAGGAGGTGTTTGGTGTACTCAGCATGGCAGGAAAAATCGCATCGTCCTCCCTGAAGCGTCTCAATCTGCTTGTTCCTTGTAGGTGAACGGTTATGACGTGGAGCTGCCCTATTTCCACCCCTCTGGACGCCTGGAAATCTACCGTGGTGACAATGGCACCATGCTGGAGTCAGAGGGGCTCCTGGCCATCAGCTACTACGGCTCGGGGCTCCTGGAGATCCGCCTCTCCACCTCCTACTTCAACTGCACCGGGGGCCTCTGCGGCCTCTTCAACGGCAACGCCAGCGATGAGTTCAACCTGCCCACGGGCAAATTCACGGACAACCTGGAGCTCTTCCTGGAGAGCTGGACCACCTTCGACGAGATCTGCAACGGGGAGTGCGGGGACCTCCTCATGGCCTGCAACAACGACTCGGAGCTGCTCAAGTCCTACCGGAGCCGCTCCAACTGCGGCATCATCAACGACCCCACCAACAGCTCCTTCCTGGAGTGCCACAGTGTGGTCAACGTCTCAGCCTACTACAGGACGTGCCTCTTCCGCCTCTGCCAGAGCGGGGGCAACGTGTCAGAGCTGTGTGACTCGGTGGCGCGCTACGCCAGCGCCTGCAAGAATGCCGACGTGGACATCGGCCAGTGGAGGAGCCACAGCTTCTGCCGTGAGTCCACCAAAGCCTTTAAGTACCCAGCGTGGGGAGAAAGGGATTTTTGAACCCACCATACTCAGGCAGAGTCTTTTTGTTGGGAATTTGTGGGTGTGCAGAGGTGGAGCGGGTTTCTTAAGGGGTGCTGAAATTACAGCAGTAGTTTCTGAGCGTGCTGGAGCCAGCAGAGACACATTTCACAGCAAAGTGATTTCAGGGTGGCATTTCAGGAGGCAGCAGAAGTTTTATGATGCGGTGCAGGAGCGTTCTGGAGCCGCAGATGGTGTCTGGAGGTGCTGTGTGCCACCAACAGAGGATAATTTGCATAACACTGGTTTTTAGCTGGCTCTTTAAACTTGCTGTTGGTAGGAGAACATTCATAATTCAGAAGAAGCAAATGCGAAAAATCCCTGGTATGGAAGTACATGGTGGGAAGGCAGTGCCTGTCTCTGCCTCAGAGGTTTCAGGGAGGTGCCTGTTTGGGAGCTCTGTCCTTTTAGGTTGAGTATTAGAAAAAGGTTCTTCCCCCAGAGGGTGGTTGGGCACTGAACAGGCTCCCCAGGGCAGTGGGCACAGCACCAAGGCTGCCAGAGCTCAAGAAGCATTTGGATGATCCTCTCAGGCACAGGGCGTGTGACTCTGGGGGATGATCCTGTGCAGGGTCAGGATTGGACTCGATGATTCTTGTGGGTCCCTTCCAGCTCAGGATATTCTGTGAAAATAGCAGGACGAGGTGTCTTTTGGCACGTGGCAGGACAGGGCTCTGATGTGAGGGCAGTGATGGCTGAGAGGAGAAGGGGTTGCAAAAGAAATTGGGAGAGACAATGGCCAGCAAGGGGCTGGGATTGTTTCCCCTCTGGCTTCTTTCCCCCAAATCAGTCACCACTCACCCCATTCCCACTTTTTGCCTGTCCCTCACCCCGTGGGGCTCACGCTCTCTGTTTGCCGGCCCTGCAGCTCTGGCCTGCCCGGAGAACAGCCACTTTGAGGAGTGCATGAGCTGCGTGGAGACCTGTGAGAGCCTGGCCTCGGGCCCCGTGTGCACAGACACCTGCACTGAGGGCTGCCAGTGCGACGAGGGCTTCGCCCTGCGCGGCGCCCGCTGCATCCCGCGCGGGGAGTGCGGCTGCAGCTTCGAGGGGCGGCAGCTGGCCACCAACCAGACCTTCTGGATGGACATCTCCTGCCACTTCCTCTGCTACTGCAACGGCTCCGACAACAGCGTGTACTGCGAGAATGTCTCCTGCAAGGACGACGAGTACTGCCTGGAGGAGAACGGCCTCTACTACTGCCACGCCCGCACCGACGCCTCCTGCATCATCTCCGGCTACGGCCACTACCTGACTTTTGACGGCTACTCCTTCGACTTCCAGAGCAGCTGTGAGTTGATCCTGTGCACCACGATCTCCAGGCCCAGGGTGGAGCGCTCGGACACGTTCCCAGCGTTCACTGTCACGGCCAAGAATGAGGACCGGGACACCTCTCTGGCCCTGTGGGTGAAACAAGTGGAAGTGGAGGTCTTTAACTACAACATCGTCATCCACCGTGCCTACAAATACACTGTGCTGGTGAGTGCAGGACAGGAGGGATGTGGTTATGTCTGCCTGTGTGGCTCCCAAACCACAGAGTGAGTTCTTAGGCACTGGGCTTTATGGTCTGCAGGGTTTTACAGGGTTTGGGAAGTGTGGATGCTTGGGTGCTGCCAGGCAGCTTTTGGAGGGGGTTTGTGTTTTGGCTGCCTTGTTTTGGGTGCAGAGGCGAGGCCGACAGGGACCTTGCTCTGGGAATGCCAAGCCACCCCCATTTGTATCCTGTGGCAGCTGTGATTGTCATTCCCACTCACAGTGCATCTTGTTTCCTTCCCTGCAGATCAATGATGAGCGTCTCTACCTGCCCCTGAAGCTGGGCCAGGGCAAAGTGAACATCTTTGCCTTCGGCTTCCACATCGTGGTCGAGACCGACTTCGGGCTGAAGGTGGTGTACGACTGGAAGACCTTCCTCTCCGTCACCATCCCACGGGGCTTCCAGAACCTCACCTACGGCCTCTGCGGCCGCTACAACGGCAACCCCGAGGACGACCTGGTGGCCTCGGGTGGCACAATGGCCACCAGCATCGCCGACTTTGTCCAGAGCTGGGCCAAGAGGGACACGTTCTGCCGCGTGGGCTGCGGCGACCGCTGCCCGGCCTGCGGGAAGGTGGAAGGCTTCTGGAAGCCCCAGCAGCTCTGCAGCCTCATCCCGAGCCAGAGCGGGGTCTTTGCCAAGTGCCACAGCAAGATCAACCCCGGCTTCTTCTACAAGAACTGCCTGTTTGACACCTGTGTGGATGGGGGAGCCATGCAGACAGCCTGCAGCTGGCTGCAGAACTACGCCAGCACGTGCCAAACACAGGGGATTGCCATTACTGGCTGGAGGAACTTCACCTCGTGCTGTAAGTGCCACCCTGCCTCCAGGTCCTCCTTTTTCTGGGGTGCCAGGGATGGGGAGGCCAACAGCCAGGCAGCCGGTCCCTCCCATGCTGGGTGTGGGGTCAAGACTGGGCCACTCTATTCTTTACAAACTGCACGTGGTACAGCAGGAGCAGGGGTGGAAAAGGGGAAGCCTCAAGCTCAGGACGTATCAGCCATCCCCCCGTTGTTAAGCAGGAATTACATTAGTTGGCTTTGAAGGCAGGAGTACGTGTTTGCTCTAGTGAAGCTGCAGCCCCTTGTCAATAAGGTTGTGATGTGCTGTTCAATTAGGCTCCTGAGGATGGGGACTGCACGCCTCCCTGGCAGCCAATCTATCTGGCAAATCAGATGGGAAGTAATTGTCTTTGCTAACAAGACTGAAAATTAAATTTGTGTCGTTTTCCCTTCTGACAAGCAAGCTCATGGCCCAGAGGCACCGCTCACACAGGGTGGTGAGGCTGCTGACTGGCACCATGCGTGGCAGGTCCCTTTGGGGAACCAGGTTGGTTTGGTCCAGGGAGCTAATCTGAGTGTGCTTTGTCCTCTCTCAGCTGTCAGCTGTCCCCCCAACAGCCACTACGAGAGCTGCGTGTCCCTGTGCCAGCCCCGCTGTGCCGCCATCCGGCTCAAGAGCGACTGCAGCCACTACTGTGTGGAGGGGTGTCAGTGTGACCCCGGGTACGTCCTCAATGGCAAGAGCTGCATCCTGCCCCACAACTGTGGCTGCTACTCCGATGGCAAGTACTACGAGGTGAGCAGCTCCAGTCCTTCTCTCAGGGCTTGCTTTCGTCCTCTGGCTGATATTTCTGGGCCTGAGAGGGGATGGCAGTCAAGCTGGGCTGGTACCAGGGATAGAGAGGAGAGGGATGTCCTTCCATGGTGTGCTGCATAGCAACAACCACCATACAGTTGATGATTTCTATCTGCAAAAATCATCATACAGTTGTTAAGTGAGGGTGACCCAGGTGTCAAGCACAGGAGAGAACTGGTAGAGGAAAGGGTGGTGACTGAGAAGACTGATGAGTGCCAAAGTCCAGTACTATATAACCATTTGTTCTAGGTATTCCACTTTTTGTTTCACATTAAATTTATTTATTTGTAGCTACTAGATGTCACTCAGGAGTTTGATGCAGCAGAGGGCTGTGCTTGGTAGCACTGCTCATTTACAGCAGGTTTTATTTTGTATCAGTGAATCTGTTCCGTGTAAGATGTCTTTGCCAAGCCCCACACCCATAAGGAGCCAGTATTAAATATCAAAACCTTAAATTATTAAATTAAATACTTGAATTAAATATTAAAATCAAACCTTTTGGTTGCCTAAGTGAAAAACACGTTGCAGGGCTCAGCAGAGAGAGACAATAGGTGACACACTGGGCTGCCATGTCAAGAACTCTGGTGGGGGTACTGGGGTACTAACAGGTGGGTTGGTGGCCAGCAGAGTGCAAGAAAGAGGTCAGGGAGGTGTTTAACACTGTGTGTGTACAAGAGGTGAGGAAGGTTGTGATGGCAGTGCAAACAGTTGCCTCATGTCTGTGGGTAGCAGAGGTAGGTGCAAGCTGTTCTTGGCACCTTTTTCTCTGTCCTCATTACCCATTCTTGCTTGTTGTGCGGCAGAGGGGTGTAAACCTTGTCCCACAGAGGGCAGGGCAGGGATCCCTGGAGTGAGGAGTCCCTGGAGGTATTTAAGAAGAGACTGGATGTAGCATCAGTGCCATGGTCTAGTTGACAAGGTGGTATTGAGTCATTGGTTGGACTCGTTGATCTCAGAGGTCTTTTCCACCCTGGTTGATTCTGTGGTTCTGTGATCCTGTGCTTCTCTTTCAGCCCAAGCAGCTCTTCTGGAACGGGGACTGCACCCGCCGGTGCCGCTGCTTCCGGCGCAACCTGATCCAGTGCGACCCTCGGCACTGCAAGTCGGACGAGGAGTGTGCCCTGCGCAACGGCGTCCGCGGCTGCTTCAGCACCCGCAGCTCCTTCTGCCTGGCGGCGGGAGGGGGCGTGTTCCGCACCTTCGACGGCGCCTTCCTCCGCTTCCCCGCCAACTGCGCCTTCGTCCTCTCCACCATCTGCCAGAAGCTGCCCGACTTCTCCTTCCAGCTCATCATCAACTTCGACAAGTGGTCCTCGCCCAACCTCACCATCATCTCCCCCGTGTACTTCTACATCAACGAGGAGCAGATCCTCATCAGTGACAGGAACACTGTCAAGGTAAGGTCTTGTCAGGGGTGTCCACCCCCTCCACAGTCAGGCTGGGGAGCAGGGTGCTGAGTCCCAAATGGAGTAGGATACCAACTTCCAAATAGACTGAGATGGCACTCAGGCACTCACAATAGTCTTCACAAGGGCCCTAGACAACTGTTGTTGTTCTCACAGCTGGGATGGTGGGAGGCATTAGTGGAACCATTTTTGGGTGGCTCACACGCACATCCATAAGCAGGATACAGGAGGGGGATCTACTCCGTGTCCTCCCTTGCTCCAGGTGAACGGCAGCCAGGTGAGCATCCCCTTCGTCACGGGGCTTTCCACCAAGATCTTCAGCCAGGAGGGCTTCCTGGTCATCGACTCCAGCCCGGACATCCAGATCCGCTACAACGGCTTCAACGTCATCAAGATCACCATCGGGGAGCGGCTGCAGAACAAGGTGTGCGGCCTCTGCGGCAACTTCAACGGCGACCGGACGGACGACTACGCGACGCTGCGGGGGAAGCCGGCGGTCAGCAGCGTGGTGCTGGCCCAGAGCTGGAAAACCAACGGCATGCAGAAGAGGTGAGTGGTCGGGCAGCCCTTCCCACGGAGCGGGAGCAGGGCTGGCCGCACGAGCCCCCTGCCATGTGTCCGGTGCCCACAGCTGCAACGAGCTGCAGTACTCGCAATACGCCGCTTCCTGCGACAACGTCCAGATCCAGGAGCTGCAGAGCGACAGCTACTGCCTGAAGCTGACGGACATGAAGGGCTTCTTCCAGCCCTGCTACGGCCTCCTGGACCCGCTGCCCTTTTACGAGTCCTGCTTTCTGGATGGCTGCTACAACCACAAGAAGGTCCAGCTGTGCGGCTCGCTGGCCGCCTACGGGGAGGCCTGCCGCACCTTCGGCATCCTGGGCACCGAGTGGATCGAGAAGGAGAATTGCTGTAAGACAGCCGGGGGCCATCTGGGTTGAGGGGAGGGGGGGTGCTCCGAGGGTGAAGGTCGTGTCTGTGCTCTGCCTTGTGCTGTTTAGCAGGAGTGGTGGAAGATCCCTGCGTGGGCGCCGACTGCCCCAACCGCACGTGCGAGCTGGACAACGGCGGGGAGCTGTGCGGCTGCATCGAGCCCCCACCCTATGGGAACAGTGAGTGCCCTGGGCCTGGCTGTGGGATTGGTGCTGAGTGGTGTGCTGGGCTATTGTACTGCTGGGGCTGTGGGAAGGGAGGTGCTGAGGGCTGGGACTCTGGGGTTTCATGACTTTTCGCAGGTCAGAAGAGGAGGAGGAACAGGGAACTCAGGGAAGGGGTTTTTTGGGGTGCTTGTTATGGGCATCTCTGGCTTGGGAGTGCTTTGAGCAGGGATGTAGGACAGGGCGCACCATAGGAGACAATCCCAGCCCATTTCTGGTGGTGGGGAGGAGTGCTGGTGGTGATCTGAACTTGTCTCATCTTCTCTTCCAGCCACCCACGACATCATTGATGCGGAGGTGACCTGCAAAGCCGCCCAAATGGAGGTGTCCATTTCCAAGTGCAAACTGTTCCAGCTGGGCTTTGAGCGTGAGGGGGTGCGGGTCAACGACCGCCACTGCCCCGGCATCGAAGGGGAGGACTTCATCTCCTTCCAGATCAACAACACCAAGGGCAACTGTGGCAACCTGGTGCAGGTGAGCTGGGACATGGGGCATGGAGAACTGGGAGTGGGGGCCAGTCCTCCACAGCAGCCCAGCTTGACACCAGGGTTGGGGCAGGGCCGCACATGGATGCGAGCGATGCTTGGGAGCTGCTTGCATGGGCTGAGGCTCCACTCAGGGATAGAAGGAGAACAGAGATAGGTCTTGTGGAGTAAGGACTCTGCCTTGTGGTTCCTCGCCCCACCATTCCATACCCTTTCTGGCCAGGGGCAGTGGAGTGGCAGCAGGACCCTTAGTGTCACACAGCTTGTTTAGAGGCCAAGTGTCTGTAGGAGCAGGGGAGGAAATGGCTGATCTCAAGCAATGCCCTGTGTTCCCTCTGCAGTCCAACAGCACACACATAGTGTACAAGAACACGGTGTGGATTGAGAGTGCAAACAACACAGGCAACATCATCACCCGGGACCGGACCATCAACGTGGAGTTCTCCTGTGCCTATGAGCTGGACATCAAGATCTCCCTGGATTCAGTTGTGAGGCCGATGCTCAGGTAGGAGCCAAGGCCAATTGCACAGGCGGAGGCAGCAAGAGCTCCAAAGCAAGGCACCAGTCTGGGGGCTCACAGCCTCTCCTCTATCTGAGCCAGTATTTTTTGTGTCATCGTTAGTGTGATTAACCTGACGGTGCCGACGCAGGAGGGGAGCTTCACCACCAAGATGGCCCTGTACAAGAACTCGTCCTACAAGCACCCTTACCGGCAGGGCGAGGTGGTGCTCACCACCCGGGACGTGCTCTACGTGGGGGTCTTTGTGGTCGGGGCCGACTCCAACCACTTGATCCTGATGCTGAACAAGTGCTACGCGACCCCCTCTCGGGACAGCAATGACAAACTGCGCTACTTCATCATCGAGGGAGGGTGAGCGACCAGGGGCCAGCACGACCTGTTGGTTTCCATGGTGTCTGCTGGAGAGGGTGCTCGAAGGGGTGGTGGCATCAGTTTTGGATTTTTGGCTGGTGATCAAGTTCTGGAAAGGATGGGGAACAGGGCAGCCAGTGCTGTTAGGGCAGGATTAATTTGCTTAGAGTGGAGGTGGCCACAAGTCCTGTGTGTGACAGAATCCCAGATGTGGAGAGAAGTGACCTTCCTCATGTTGATAATTGGCAATGGGATGTCTGTAGGAGACAGGGGGATATGGATCATGGCACAGGCATTTTAGGAAGTGGGAGTACAATGAAGTTGGAAGTGCCAGAGGGAGGTTACAGAGGCAGGGCATAGCATCTCTGTCCAGACAAACACACCACTGTGGGACTCAGGCTGAGGGGGCCTTACAGGGACAGGGGAGAGTGATCCCTTGAGGGAGGATCCTGGTCATGGGAGGGTCGTGGTGAGCATCAGTGCTCTGCACAGGTGCCAAAACATAAAGGACAACACCATTGGCATCGAGGAGAACGGGGTGTCCTTGACGTGTCGCTTCCACGTCACCGTGTTCAAGTTCATCGGGGACTATGACGAGGTTCACCTGCACTGCGCCGTCTCACTCTGTGACTCGGAGAAATACTCCTGCAAAATAGTAAGTGGGGCAAGAGCAGAGGGGGCCAGGTTGCTTGATTTGAAGGGCTGTGTGGGAGTGCAGCAAACCCAGTTGATGTGACGTCAGAGAGGTGACCAGAGATGTAGCCCCGGGGGTGAGACCGGGAGGGTTGTGTGGAGAGAGGCTCTGCCATGGGCAGGTCACCTGGAGACCTGAGCGTGGTTGGAAAGTCCCTTTGGAAGCTGGGCTGGACTGAGGGGCACAGAGAGGGCCCAGGCAGGGGCTGAGAGTGACAGAGGTGGCATTTATCCCCCAATAGAACTGCCCCCAGCACACGAGGATGGCCAGCGCGTTCGCCGAGGACTCCAAGGAGCAGATCCTCTCAGTGGGGCCTATCAGGAGGAAGCGTAAGTGTGCGACCCCAGGGAAGGCTGGGGGGGGTTACCTGCCATCCCAGTCCTAGGCAGCCAAGGACTGGGGTCCGGGAGTGTTGCTCAGGTGTCCCCCTTTGCTGTGTGTGCCCAGGGTCGGACTGGTGCGAGGACAACGGGGGCTGTGAGCAGATCTGCACGAGCCGGGCGGACGGACCCCTGTGCAGCTGCGTGACAGGGACACTGCAAGGGGACGGCAAGAGCTGCAGGGGCAAGTACCAGGCTTGGGGCAGGCAGAGCAGGGGCTTCCACGCCCGAGCCGAGGGGCTGTAGGGGTGAGCAGCACGGGGAAGGCGGCTGGAAGGTGCGGTGTGTTGCAGACAGGAAGGATGTGGAGGGCAGGGAGCCAGATGTGTGCTCTTCCTGGCACCTGAGGGCTGCAGGGCCAATGCTGGCAGATTCTGAAGAGCTGGCGAGGGTGATGATAGTGTACAACGTGGTGCAGGGTAGAGTAGATGCCATGGGTAGAGTTTAGGGGCTCATGGGAGGGGGGCCCAGCAATGAGATCAGGCACTGGGAGGGTGCAGGACTGGCATGATTTGAGGGGCACTTGGCATGTCGGGGAGGGAGGTACACGCTGCACATGTACCAGGGCCCCAGCTCACACGGATCTCGTTGTGTTGGCAGCCTCCAGCTCTTCAGGGGAACACCGTGCCCAAGTGACCCCTCTGGTGGTGGCCCAGCTGTGGCTGTGGCTGCACGTGGCTCTGCGGGACCTGACCTCGTAGGCGCGGCTCTGCCGCCCCGCCAAAAACTGTTCTCGCGTCAGCCTGAGTCTTTGTAGGGTAGGAGACAGCCCCCCCACAGTGGCCACGCTGCCTCCAACCCTCTGCTGTGAGGAGAGAAGAGGGATGTGACCCGGAGAGAGCTCGGACGTGAAGGTGGCACGTGGCAGGCACAGCGGCAGCAACGGCAAGACAGAGCTGGATGTCTGCCCGTGGGACTGTGCTTTGGGGGTTTTTTTTACAGGTTTCTATCATTGATGTGGACTCAAGGAGGGGTTTTTGCAACTTTTCCCCAGGCTTTCCCTTACAGCTGCACTGTAGGTGGCCCTCACCGCTGTCAGTAGTGTGGGACAGGCTGGAGCGTGTGTCCCTTTGCATGGACAGCTGTGGGTCTCCACAGTCCTTGGGAGCTGCCATCAGGGTTTTGGGAGCTCATGGACTCAGCCAGAGGTAGGTGTTGGGGCACAGGCTGTGGGCCAGAGCAGTGCATTGTCACCACTGGATGTCGTGACACCTTGGGACCGTGTCACCCTCTGGCTCTCTGGTGCTGAGGTGTGTGCTGGAGAGCCAAACTCATCCCCAGGGCTCTGGAAGTCTTGGTTTTGTGCTGCAGTGCTGACAAGTCAGTCTCAATATTTGGAAAGAGGTGCTTTCTGGTGGGCAGGAACAAGAGCCAGGGAAATGGGGGGTGGAATTCCCTGCTGTGTTTTTGTGATGGGCCGCAGCAGAGTTGTTTGAGGGTCGGAGCAGGGTTGGGGTCTGCTTGCACAGGGCAGCAGCATTGGGGTGCCTGGTGGAGCAGCCTTGGGGTGCTGGTGGGTGTGGGGGGGCTGTGTTGGTGTCTTGTCTTGTGTTTGTACTCTGTGAAACGGCTGCGTGGGAATAAAAAGTGTTGTAATCCTTGGTAAGCGCCGTGGTGCCGTGTGGTGGTGGCCAGGACCGGGAGAGGCAGCTGGGCCTGGAAGGGCTCTGGGGATGGAACGAGTCCCTGGGAGGGTGGGGAGGGTTTTGGGGTGCCAGGCAGAGGCTGCAAAGGGGGCACAGCAGAGCTGAGGGTCTGGGTTGGGGCAGGTTTGCCATGAGATGGGCTGGGATGCAGGGCTGAAGGTGCAGAGGAGACTGGGGTTTTGGGGCAGGAGGAGGGCAGCTGGTTCCCCTTGCCTCAAGGGAGAGGTGGCTAGCAGGGTGTTGTGGACTCTATTTGCCCTCTACACCTCATGCCCTCTGTGTTTTAGCTCTCAGTTCTCTCCTTCATCCCTCTTTTCTCCCTCTCTCTGCCTCTCTTCTGCCTCATTCCCCCCTCTCTCTGTGCTCCCTCACTCTTTGTGCCTCTTCACTCTCCTCTTGGTCTCTGCTCCCTGTTTGTGCCTCTCCTCTCTGCCCTGCTCTCTCTCTGTGTCCCCCTCTATTGGTGCTCTCTCTCTGCTCTCTTATGCCTCTCTGTGCTTCTCTGCCACCCCTCTCTGCTGTCTGCTCCCTCTCAGTGCTCACTCTGCTGCATCTGCTGTCTTTCTGCCTCTTTGCTTGCCCCCTGTGCTGTCTCCACATTTGCCCTCTGCTCTCTCTGCCCTCTGCCTCTTTGCCCTCTCCCCATCCCTGCTGTATCTCCCTTTTTGCTCTCCAGGTCTCCCGGCTCTCTCTTCAGTTTTTTTGCCTCTCTTCCCCCCTTGCCCTCGTCTCTTGCCCTTTATCTTGGCATCAATAAATGAACTCTGTGGCCAGAGGATGATGAGGAGCATGGATGTGCCTGTACCTGAGGTAGCTGACCCTGTTGCCCAAGAGCCTGTGTGTTTGCAGAGGTTGCCCACTCTCTGTCTGGGGTGGGACAACCCACAGAGCTGATGATGGAGAGGATCTCCTGGGCACTGGAGGCAGCTGAGTGGTGCTGGCTGGCCCTTGCTGGGGATGGCTGGTAAATAGGTAGGTAACCAAGTTGCTTATTTAGTAGCACAGTGGTGTGGTGGGGGGTACAAGTGGGTTATGATGATGTTAATGATTTTTTTGTTGTTTTTTTATAGGTTTTTAACAGATGTCCAAGCAGTGGTGATGGGCAGAGCACCTGTTTTTGGGGATTGCACTGACCTGGCCAAGGTCTGACTCAACCTTTTGTGTGACTTAATAGAATCACAGAGCAGGTTCCACCCATCTTGTTCCACCCTCTGCCATGGGCAGGGACACCTTCTACCATCCCAGATTGCTCCAAGCCCCGTCCAGCCTGGCCTTGGACACTTCCAGGGATGGGGCAGCCACAGCTTCTCTGGGCAACCTGTGCCAGGGCCTCCCCACCCTCCCAGGGAAGGGTTTCTCCCAAATATCCCATCTCTGCCAGCCTTTCAGACACTGCTCTGTAGCATCCTGCCTTCACCCAGAGGCAAAGCTGGTTCTGTTACTCGAACTCCCGACTGTAAAGCTGCTCCTTGGATTTCAATCTCTCTTTGATCTTAAGCTCTTCAGGTTGTAATTTAATATTTCAAAATCAACCTAATCATACACAAGCAGCATAATTAGCAGCTGTGAGGTGACCTGGGGTGGATCTAACCATGGTGGCTCAACTGGGATGTTGTAACCTGGAATTCTAGAATTTCAAATAGTACATCTGCTTTTAAAAAGGAAAAATAAAATGAAAATACCCAAACTCTGCTAAACTAAATATTCTAACTATGCATATTTTCTTTTGCAGCCTCTATTGTTCCTTAATCCTTAAGGAGACATAGAAATAAGGTTGAAACAACAGCATATTGAAGCTGATTTACACAGTGGAAGGAGCTGAAATTGTCTGGACCAAGGTCACATTTCAACCTTTCTCTTGTATGGAACATCAATGGATGGGAAATTCTTTGTAGGATGTATTGAAACACTTAAATGTGTATATATATATATATATTTATATATATATAAAGTATATTTATATATGTATATTTCAAAGTATACATATCTTTTAAAGTGTATGTTTTAAAGTATATATATATAAAATACATTTTTTATTTATATATATTATTTATATATATTATATTTATATATATTTATATATATTTAATATATAATATAATATGTATTATATATATTATTTATATATATTTATTTATATTTATATATTTATTTATATATTTATATTTATTATATAATATATATTATATATTATATGTATTATATATAATACATATTATATTATATATAATTATATATATGTAATATATATAATATATATAATATATAAATATAAATAAATATATAAATAAAAATAAATATATATAAATAATATATACACTTTGTCAGGATAAGCTCTGAGTCCTTGAGATAAATATGTATATATATATATAATATATATATTATATATCTATTTATCTCAAGGACTCAGAGCTTATCCTGACAAATTGCTTCAATTGAAACTCTCTTTAAAGGGAGTGGACATGAATTCAGGCTGACTCAAACAAGATGAAACATTTAATACTCACTAATTACTGTTTATAATCGTATCAGGGAAGAGTCAGTGAAGGGCAGGACTAACTTTTTTCCCATTGGAAAAACCCATTTCGATGCCACAACTGTTAACCTGGCAGTTGGAATCTGCTGCTAGCTGGGCTTAGACAAGGAAAGTATATCCCAAGAGTTCATGCATATTTATGCAGTGACTGCCTTTTCAGTCTTGCCTCAAAAAAAGCAGAGTTCTCAGGAGCTGGGTGTTCCAGACAGACACTTGGCAGTGGTTTTGAGGAGCAGGGATGGTGGAGAGCTGGATCACAATGTACACAGAATAAAGAGCTGTGGAAAAATACACATAGAAAATACACAGAATAAGAGGGAGACAATTGCACCTGGGAACAGAGGAAACAAGTAGAAGTAAATACTTACCACCTGTAAGTAGGTGGAGAAGATACTTGGTGAGGCCAAAGTAACAACAGGAACATACTGGGAGGAAAAAACCCACGGGGCAAGTCCTGGTTGCAAAAATGAACTCAGTGAAGAGCAGAGGAGCTGTGACCTCTCCTTTCTAAGGAAGAAGAAGAAGAAAACACCATTAAATACTGAGAAAAAAACCATGGGAGATATCCTACTTCACCCCTGCTTCCCTCACCAAGATGTTCTCTCCCCCTCTTTTCCAAACCACACAACCACTGCCCCCCATGTACCAGCACTCCCTGTTTGACCCTTGTGGCTAATCTAGGCCAAGTTTATTAAAGACTAATTATTTGCCTGTGTGATGGTGGTGAATAAAGCCTAAGCCTGGCTGATAATGTGTGCTGGTAATGACTGTCAGTCTAATAAAGGCAGGTTTAAACTTTCAAACTGTGTCGGTGTGTTTGTTTGAAATACAGCCCCAAAATGTGCAGCTTCTGTGGGGGAAGGTCTGGAGGGTCAGAGGGACATTGAGGTTCAGCTGGACAGGCCAGAGGAGACAGAGCAGCAGAGCTTTGATTGTTCTGCCCCAAATAAACACCAATTTTATCATGTCCAAATAAAACTGAAACACGGGGAGCACCTCTAACCCCAAAATACTAATTAGTTGACCTAAAGAAACCCAAATGACCTACAATAATCCTAAAGTGCTCTGCAGAGAGTTTGACCTGCAGTAACCCAAAAATGACCTAAAGTAACCCCAATGACCCACAGTAACCCCAAAATGACCTAGAGTAACCCCAAAATGACCTGAAGTAACCCCAAAAGGCTGGATTTTTGACCTAAAGTAACCCCAAAATTTTCTGCAGAGAGTAAGTTTGACCTGCAGTAACCCCAATGACCTAAAGTAACCCCAATGACCCAGAGTAACCCCAAAATGACCTGAAGTAACCCCAAAAGGCCAGTTTTTTGACCTAAAGTAACCCCAAAATTTTCTGCAGAGAGTAAGTTTGACCTAAAGTAACCCCAATGACCTAAAGTAACCCCAATGACCCACAGTAACCCCAAAATGACCTGAAGTAACCCCAAAAGGCTGGATTTTTGACCTAAAGTAACCCCAAAATTTTCTGCAGAGAGTAAGTTTGACCTGCAGTAACCCCAATGACCTAAAGTAACCCCAATGACCTAAAGTAACCCCAAAATGACCTGGAGTAACCCCAAAAGGCTGGATTTTTGACCTAAAGTAACCCCAAAATTCTCTGCAGAGAGTAAGTTTGACCTGCAGTAACCCCAATGACCTAAAGTAACCCCAACGACCTAAAGTAACCCCAAAATGACCTGGAGTAACCCCAAAAGACTGGATTTTTGACCTAAAGTAACCCCAAAATTCTCAGCAGAGAGTAAGTTTGACCTGCAGTAACCCCAATGACCTAAAGTAACCCCAACGACCCAGAGTAACCCCAAATGACCTGAAGTAAACCCAAAATGACAAAAAGTAACCCCAAAAGGCTGGATTTTTGACTCAAGTAACCAAAATTTTCTGGCAGAGAGTAGTTTTGACCTGCAAGTAAACCCCTGACCTAAAGTAAACCCCAAGGACCCAGAGTAAACCCAAAATGACCTGAAGTAAACCCAAAGTGACCTGAAGTAACCCCAAAAGGCTGGATTTTTGACCTAAAATAACCCCAAAATTCTCAGCAGAGAGTAAGTTTGACCTGTAGTAACCCCAATGACCTAAAGTAACCCCAATGACCTAAAGTAACCCCAAAATGACCTAAAGTAACCCCAAACTGCTAGATTTTTGACCTAAAGTAACCCCAAAATTCTCAGCAGAGAGTAAGTTTGACCTGTAGTAACCCCAATGACCTAAAGTAACCCCAATGACCCAGAGTAACCCCAAAATGACCTGTAATAACCCCAAAGTGACCTCGAATAACCCCAAAATTCTAATTGGTTGACCTGAAGCGACTCCAAAGGTCTCTATTAAAATGCATTTTCCCACAATTAAACCTCCCATCTATTGAGCTTTTTGGGGTTTCTGACGGCATTGGGGTTACTCCAGGTCATTTTG